AGCAGGGCTTGATTGTTTTTAATATAAGAAGTTCTATTTATAGCAAATATAAAAGCCCTTTCACACCAAAAAGTGTAATGAATAAACCTCAGGCTGAAGCAAAAGTAAATTCACGTCTGTACAGTAGAACGCAGGAGAAGAAACACTCTTCATCAATAAAAAAACAAAGCACAATTGTTAATCTCTAAAGTCATGTTTGCTTATTAGTATGGTTGAACTGGATCATCAAAGGTCAGCAGCAAAGATATTGGTTAATAAAATGGGATTAGATACATTTGTGTTATTTTACATATGTAATTATTGCAGGTTTGCATCATATTCTGAGTTCGCATTTCACTGTTTTAATTCATTTTGATGAATACTAAATCTGTTTTTTTGTGAGTGGGATGAATTAATGCACATTCACATTTAGTCTAGAACTACAGTAACATGTTACTACAGAAATCATGTTCACACAGCGCACACAATGCCTCTGTACTCCTGATTTCTCCCAATATGGGGACAGGAGAGCTGTCAGTCAATAAATGGGAAAACAAAGTAACTGGCATTACTTTTTTGAAAAAGTAACTCAGATATTTTCTTGTAAATTAATAAAGTAATGCGTTACTTTACTAGTTACTTAAAGAAAAGTAATCTGTTTACGTAACTCACATTACTTGTAATGAGTTACCCCCAACACTGGTGATAACCATCATCACTATGCTAACACTGATTTTAATTTGGAAAATTGCACCTGCTTAATGAATACGCTATTGTAGGATGGCAGCAGTGGAATCACTCAAAACAGAATGAGATGAAATTGTTTTTTAATTATGAATGCATCATTGTGTGTTGGATGAGTTAGGTTAAACGTAAATATTGCAAGAAATCCACTGTCGTTCACTGATGTTTGTGACAACTGCAGTTGGCAAATTTATAAACAATTTTACATTGTGCCATTTTCATACATCTTGCTTCTAGAGCATGTTTGATTTAATTTACCCCAGAGTGTTAATTAATACATCAACTAACATGCAGGAACTAACATGTAATTAAGGTAGTGTTATTCATGCAGTAGTTCATATGACTCATCTCGTAGTTAAGTTAGTTCTTCATTAGTTCTTGATTAATACATATCTTAACTCATCATTAGTTCATAGTCAAGTAATTATTAATTCAGGTATTAGTACATGCTAATTCATGTACTGTTATTCTAAAGTGTTACCAACTTTGTTGATGCAGAACAGTTTCTTAATTTCTTTCCATGTCCAGTATGAAGTAAATATAAATTTTGATTGAGATTGAGCTAAAATGGTCAAAAACATTTATTGGGCAAAGTACTGCATGTAAAAAAAATAAAATAAAAATGCTCACCAAAAAATTTTAATCACCCTTTACATCATTACCCTGAAAATATACTCACCCTCAGGCTGTTCAAGATGCAGAAAAGTTTGTTTCCTCATCAGAATGGATTTAGCATTACATCAGTTGCTCACCAATGGATCCTCTGCAGTGAATGGGTGCCGTCAGAATGAGAGTCCAAACAGCTGATTAAAACACCCTAATATTTCACAACAAGACTCCAGTCTATCAATGAATGGCTTGTGAATCAAAAAGCTGTGTTTGGAAAAAACAAATCCATCATTAAGGTGTTTTAACTTTAAACTGGCCAAACAACGGGTCCATAATCCATAACAACACAACCCTCAGTGAAAAAGTCAAGTCAAGTCACCTTTATTTATATAGCGCTTTTAACAATACAGATCGTGTCAAAGCAACTGAACAGCATTAATTAGGAAAATAGTGTGTCAATAATGCAAAATGACAATAGTAAACACTCATTTTTCAGTTTGACTTCAAAATCCATACGTCAACTGGAACGTTTTGGACTGTAAAAAGTACTTGACCTGTGCATATTTCTCTCCTGATTCAGACAAGACAACTTTTCAATGGAAAAAGCAATATTATGGATAGAGAGACTTGTATTTTAGGCGGAAGCAATGGTTTGAAGCCAAAAAAAAATCTTTTTGATGGATGTTTCTTTCAAACATGCAGCTTTTTGCTTCACATTAGATGGACTGGACTATTTATTGTTCAGCTGTTTGGACTCTCATTCTGACGGCACCCATTCACTGCAGAGAATCCATTGGTGAGCAAGTGATGTAATGCTACATTTCTCCAAATCTGTTCTTGGATGGATTTTCATTTTTGGTGAACTGTTCCTTTAAGATAACACTGTCTCACTTATCTGCCTATTTTTCAAAAAGTGTTTTTTTTGGTGACATGCTGACATGAAAATGCTGTTTGAGCTGACAACAGTACATTTTAAGAGGGCAATTTTGCTCATTTATATTTAGTTCATAAGTTATATTATGGGAACTTTCTTTCGGTTTTCCACACAAAGCCAAAATCCAAGTAGGATGGCATATTATCTACTATAACAAAACAGAAGAAAACAATTCCAGACACAAATGTTTCCGGACGGCCCACTTGAGCTTTTCAATTTGCATTTTGTTTCTGTCTACGTTTCTGTAGGAGTGTGTGCCGCCATTTGGCTAAAGCATTAAACATTCACAGACTTCTCTCTAAATTAAAACCAAAGAAATGTGGTAGAGATTTTCGGACGTCTGCTGAAGATTAAAACAAGCCAGTCTTCTTAGTAAAAAGGAAGAGCTTATATTTAGCAGAAAACCAGGACTTTCTGGTGAACGAGATTTGAAGGCTGACTGGGTGTATTCCTGTCACAACCAAAATTAATATTCAGTTTAGGCTACTTTATGAAGGGTCCACAGTGAGATGAAGGTTGTATTTATTTGTATCTAAATGGCATTTTCATTGCAGTTCCACAACAGACAGTTGCAGCAGTGCATGCAAGAACAAGAGCAAGTAAGTAATTAATTCATTAATTAATAAAATAAGAGGAACCAGGGTTGGTTGAAACAGGGTTAAGTTTTTTGTTAAAACAAATCTTCTCTCTAAAACTTTTAAATATTATAAAACTAATATTCTGTACACTATCGTTTAAATGTTTGGGGTCAATAAGACTGTTGTTTTTAGAAAGAAATTAATACTTTTCTTCATCAAGGATGCATTAATTGATCAAAGATGACAGTAAAGACATTTATAATGTTACAAAAAAAATTATATTTCATATAAATGCTTTTCCTTTGAACTTTGTATTCATCAAAGAATCCTGAAAAATGTATCACAGTTTCCAATATCAAGCAGCACAAATGTTTTCATCATTGATAATCAGAAATGTTACTTAAGCAGCAAATCAGAATGATTTCTGAAGGATCATGTGAAACTGAACACTGGAGTAATGACTGCTAAAATTCAGTTTCACAATCACAGGACTGAATTTCATTTTATATTCAAACATTAAACAGTAATTTTACATTGCAATACAATTTACTTTGTTTTTGATCAAATAAAATCAGCCGTGGTGAGCATAAAAGGCTTCTTTTAAAAATCTTACTGACATGAAGTTTTGAAAGGCAGTGAAAAATGTTAACATTTTCTGAGAAATGTTAAAAGCTTCTGAGAAATTGTAAAAGAGTTGAAACATGGTTAGCACATGGAGCATACAATTAAATCATTATCCCCATTGAGATAACAGCATTATTTTGTCACAAACAAATGAATAAAATCCATGTTCAGTGTTTCTTGACTTTGCATTTGCACATTGTTAGCTTATATCAATAAATCACTTTATTGTAGGTCTGCAGTTAATCTGTTAAAGAGTGTTAAAAGCATCTGCTGTGAACGAACATCTGATAAACGTCTTTAAAAAGTCAGTTTTATATTCATTCTAAATCACAAACATCAAAAAGATCTTTTCTAAATGTCTATAGACAAATGAGCAAACACTAAAAAATACGTCTGTAAATATGTTTAGCTATGATGTAAACACGCAAATCAAATGCACCAATTACAAAGAATAAAAATTGTGGCAACCAATTGTGCCATGAGTTGCAGTTCTGCAATTAATTCTCATTCTTTCCTACACTTTTTTTCATTCCTGCCAAGGTTAGCCTTGATCACAGATGTCTGTGAACATCAAAGTACTGTTTTTGATTTGCACATGGATTTTTCCTGTAGAGCATTCCTGTCTGCTAGTCGGTTGCCTTTTCACAAGGGAAAGCAGTGTTTGGCTCTCCATTATTAGGAAACTCTGTTGTTGACCACTTCCTAGGTTCCTAGTATCAAACAGACTTTTGGTATGCCTAATACTTTGGATTTACACGGTTTTGTTTCTCAAGCTGCCCAGCACAATAGAACAAGCACAGAATGAACGACAACTCCACACCATGTTCACATATAAATATATACATGTGTAAATAGATAACCAGATGTTGTAACTGGTTCAAACAGTCAAAACATTCCGTATGCATGCATTTTTCTAAGAGTGTCTTTAATGTAATTTCCAAAACTTCAAATGTGGCAAATGCTTACCACGCAATGGAAAAGAGTGTGTAAATAGACTCACAGCTCCCTCTAGATGTCTTCTGCTCAGTAAACAAGACAACGTCAACTCTACAGAACATAAACACAATGCCAAAACTGTGAGTGTGTTTTACTTCATTAGATTTTTATAAAAAAAATGAAGTGGTCTCCGGCCAACAGATTTTTGAGATTCTCCTTTTCACCTAATTTTTTTGGGGTGTGGCCATTTTTATGTTGAATGTGCGAGACTTCCGGTGTCGGCCGCTTAGTTATTTCGGCTAAACAAAAACAGTCCGTAATGCTGCTTAATGTTGCAAACCCGTATTTGTCATTGTTATTTTAATTATCATAAACACATTGGTTTGGAACGCAAACAGTTTGACTATTTACTGCACTTTTCTTTTTGTTGTTTATTTTACATATATGAATCAGAAGTCTCCCACATGCAGTTACCCTGCTTTGAAAAATAAGGGAAATATTCGATTTGTACGTTTTTTTTTTTTTTCAAAACTTCAAATGTGGCAAATGCTTACCACGCAATGGAAAAGAGTGTGTAAATAGACTCACAGCTCCCTCTAGATGTCTTCTGCTCAGTAAACAAGACAACGTCAACTCTACAGAACATAAACACAATGCCAAAACTGTGAGTGTGTTTTACTTCATTAGATTTTTATAAAAAAAATGAAGTGGTCTCCGGCCAACAGATTTTTGAGATTTTCCTTTTCACCTAATTTTTTTGGGGTGTGGCCATTTTTATGTTGAATGTGCGAGACTTCCGGTGTCGGCCGCTTAGTTATTTCGGCTAAACAAAAACAGTCCGTAATGCTGCTTAATGTTGCAAACCCGTATTTGTCATTGTTATTTTAATTATCATAAACACATTGGTTTGGAACGCAAACAGTTTGACTATTTACTGCACTTTTCTTTTTGTTGTTTATTTTACATATATGAATCAGAAGTCTCCCACATGCAGTTACCCTGCTTTGAAAAATAAGGGAAATATTCGATTTGTACGTTTTTTTTTTTTTTATACTGATACCCTTGTGAAAAAGAAGTGCACTTAACTGTATTGAAATTATGCACTTTTAGTGTAACTTAGCCTACTTCAAATCTGAAATCTTTTTAAAAACTGTAGGCCTACTTGCAGATAACACTAGTTGCTGGTAGCCATTGACTTACATACTTATATTTGTAAAAAGTAATATAAGATATTAAAATATAATACGGCAAACAAGCCACTGAAGCATAATATTTGTATTTCTTTTTTTTTTGTGTGTGGTAATTTCTCAAAATGAGGCAGCATCTATTCTCAACATGAACCGCAAAATTTTTCCGACTCAATGAGATGACAGATTGGCTGGCAGATCATAAGGCGTCTCTGAGATCAGGCCGATTTAATGTCATATTTGATTTATTACCACAGATGGGGCACAGGATTCCTCAAAGGAAGTAGCTGGATATACAGAACCAAAAAAACCCATCTTGGCTGCTATGTCATGTCATGGTCTGTATGGTTCTTAGAGAAGTCTCACAGAACTTGAGTCCGCCAGTCCACTGAGAGATGACGTAAAAGCTGAACGTTTGAACATTGTCCTCTTTTAGTGTTTTTTTTTTTGTAATCTGCATTCAACCCACATTGAAGTTTTTAATACACTTGAACCTTGTCCTTTATTGTTTTAGATACTTGCATTGCATTTCTGCAGCCACTAGATCAGTCTTTCTCAATCCTGGTCCTGCGGTTCAATAATAAAAAAAAAACAGCTATTAGGAAAAATATCTGTCCCCCCCCTGTACAATAAGTCAATGGTACCAAAAATGGTTATCAGCATTCTTAAAAATATCTTCCTTTATGTCTGGAGAAGAAGTTCATACTGGTTTGGAACAACATGAGGGTAAATCAATGATGAGAATTTATTTATGGGTAAACTATCCCTATAAGTACATAAGAATTAAAAAAATCTGATTGGCTGGAAGGTGTGCCTTTAAACACAAGTCTGGCATCACACCACACACAAACAGACAGCTGCTCGCTCACAGAGAGTGTCTACCTTTTTAGCCAGGACACATCCCATTTGACCTTATGTTGACCATATTGTCTGGGAAAGTTGGAGTATTGCCTGTGGCTGAGCTGGTTCATCCTGGGATTGGAAGAGAAGGTTTGGCTTTAGCTGCTCAGATTTGTCAGATTCAAGCTACTTCCTGAGGCAAATTCCCAAGGTTTCAGTGCAGCTCAAATAAATCACATTAACCTGCTATACAAGATTTTATGCAATATTTCATTAAGCCCCAATGCTCCATTATGGGATTTTGGAATTGATTCTAGTGTTGTAATCACACTGAAGTTGACAGATGGCTCAAGACACATTACATTTCACATTATCTATTTCATCTAGCAGAGTTTACATGTCTGGTTAAGGTTAATAATAAAGCTGCCTGCACCCTTAAAATGAGTTCATTCAAGAGTGCGCAGAGCGGTCATCTGTACTAGACAAAGTGCCTACTTTGATGTAATATTTCAGTCACACTTAATTCCAATAATTACATTTGTATTATTTACCAGCTATTTTTATATAAACGTTTCTGATTGTAGTTATTAATGTTTTGATCTTAGTATTTTAAAATCTGAAAAAAGTCTTTTAAATCATAATTTTCCATATCATATGCATCCAGAAAACAGTAGTTTAAAGTGACTTTAAAGTATTCACTCAAATATTAAAATCCTGCCATATACTCACCCTCATGTCATTACAAAATTGTATGACTTTCTTTCTTTCATTTTTCTACATAAGAAGATATTTTGAACAATGTCTGTAACCAAACAGCTTCGGTGATTAAATTAAAAGAAATTATAATAATTTCTCAAAATAGCTTCAATGTTTCACAGAAGTCATAAAGGTTTGAAACAACATTTAGGTGAGTAAATTAAGACAATTTTTATTTTTGTGAATTATCCCTTTAACACTTCATTATTCAATAAACTAGACTGTAAAACATACTAACATCTCCCTCTAGAGGTGCTCTGCTCGTAATAAAACATGTCTATCAACCCTTAATAACAGCATCAATACAAAGACAGAACTCATTTTTACACAGTGTTGTGAAAGTCATTTAATCAGTAGAAGATTTTAGAAAAATCTATTCTTGATTATGAAAAGTTATAAATTCAAAGATGTTTTAGAAAGCTAAACAGCTCAACTAGACTGCAGAAAAAAAAATCTTTTTTTTTGTTGTCTTTTGTTACTTAAAAATGAAGAAACAAAGGAAAATGAATGTCATTGAAAGATGAAGACTGATGAAAACTTTGACTTGAAGACCAAACAGAGAAAGAAACCTTACAAGAAAAATCAAACAAACAGAAAGATGCTCAAATACCTTTCAAAAAACGCCAGAATCTCCTTCAAAACCGGTTTTCGGGAGTCAAGAGCTCATCTAGAGAGGGCGACGATGTTACAGGTTTTCACTTATCAATAGACCACTGTAGCTGAGAGCTGGTCTGAAGCTTGCGAAACGCAGAGAAGGTGATTCTAACCGCAGAACAACACCCCTGCTAAAATATAATATGAAAATACAGTCCAACTCCATACATTAGACGGCCCTCCATGAAAGGACTGCCTCTGTTCATTTGGGAAGGGGTTGTAGGGTAAGCGTACGGATCCAGACGAAGCAGGGGTCACTCCGTGGATCACCGGTGCATGGGCCTCAGGGGCTCTGTGGCTGTGGCAGCATCTGGAAACAGGTTATGGTACGCAGGGAGAGGCACGTAGGCAGCTGTGATCATTTTACCTGTTAAAGGGAAGGAGAGTGCGATTAATGTCATACACAACAACACAAGGCTTTCTATGGAGAGGAAAGATTGGTAGATGGTAGAAAGTGAGATTGGCTTACCTGCAAACCACCGACCGTGCAGGGCGCTTACAACAGCCATTGCTACTGGGATGGTTGCACACTTTACATAAACATTTCCCTGCCAAACAAGAGCAAAAATTAGGCTTTTTGGGGAAAAAAGACAGGCAGCCTTTTTGAACCCTAGAACGTAGGGGCAAGTCTCAAAAAACATGTTCAGGTCCCATTTTACCCCAAAATCACACACACTAATTTGCATTTAGAATATGAATAATCTTTTCAGGACCAACAGATTGTGATATTATTTTCAATTAATTATGACAAATAAGCATATTCCCCTAAATTCTCATAACCATAATGGGTCAGAAATGATTCCATAATTGCTATATTACCTATATGGTCATTTTATTAAAATTTATTTTTAAAAATGTAATTAAAATGGACTGAAAAGACGTTTTTACAAAATCTGAAAAAAGTGAAAAATGGTTTTATTTTGTACAACAAATGCAATTGTTCAAACGTTTATTCAGAAAGTTGCATTAAAATAGTTTTTTTTTTTTTTAATTGAGCAGAAAATCTGCATATTAGAATGATCTATGAAGTATCAGTAGGAGTAGTAGTTAGTATATTTTTATTTAATGCCATATCTATGAAGGATCATGTGACAAGACAAGTATTCAACTACTGTGGCTATAAAAAGTTTACACACACTGTTAATGTTGCTGCTTTTTAAATGTAAAACTTTACTGGTTTTCACACTGCATTGAAAGTGGTTTTTTAAAAAGTGACATTAATAGGGGTGTGTAGACTTTTTATAGCCACTGTATGAAGGTGACGACTTACTTCAGCAGAGTTCTTGTCGACGTATATGTGAACAATGCCTCCGTGTTTTCTGCACTCTTCGATGACATCATCCTTTATCTCCAGGTCCCAGCCAGGATCGTTTTCCCTACAAAGCAACACAACAAGAAATGTTATTATCAATTTCTTTCTTTTAAGAAGGACACATGCCATTCGACATCACATACACTATATTGTCAAGGATAGTTTTAATAATAAATGCAACTTACGTCTGTGGACTGAACATGTTGGAGAGCTGCAAACAGTGCGTAGCCAGTGGCTGACTTGGAAGGTTCATAGCTTGGTTCATCCCGGGATTGGGGACAAGAGGTTGTGTGGTTAAGGCTGTCAGTGGCACAAAAACATACATAACTGTCACTGTAAAGGCCTTTTCACATGAAAATTTGGAGCAATGAATCGAAACAATGGATCCCTATAGGGTTATTCACACCAGGTGCCATCTTTCGCGGCACGAAAAAGTGAGTTTTTTTTTCCATCCTGTTTTTTCCCCGTCGCTCTGCGACGAATGGGCTGTCCAATTAGATTTGAGCTTAGATCACGTGCCCGAAACAGTTGCTGTTGCACAAAAGAGTGAGAGTGGTGGCTCTGTTTTGATAAAACCAGTGTAAAGGGGCGGTCACACTAGACTTTGAGCGTGCAAAATTTTTTCGGACGCTGCTGCGAATATGGGCCTGAGTAGGATATGACAATAATAAAAATACACTTGTGTATAATAATTATATTGTACTCTCGCTCTCATATATTTATATATACACACGCACACTAAGCAATAAACAAATGATAAAAATGTGTCCGCATTCAAATGTACCGTCTGTTCCTGTTTCCATTGACACCGTGAACCATGCAGCTTAATTTTTTATTTGATTTTTATAATCTTTTAAAGATGTATTATATAAAATAGGATGCTGCGTATGGCTAAAATGAGCACTTCCTCCATTTTTGAATTTCTGTACAGAGCGGTCACGCAGTGACGTATCGATCTTCTACTGGTCACACGTCTTCACGTGATGCGAATTCGCAGGTCAGAGTTCACCAAACTTGAACTTTGGAACGCAGCGAAATGCAAAATTTTTTGCATGAGCTTGCGTTTCCGGTCTGACGCATTCGCATGAATGGAAGTCAATGGAACGAAAAGTGCAGTGTAACCACCCCTTAAACAAACACCGAAAAAGCGTATTCGAGATACAAGATACATATCTGAGGAAAATGCATTGTTGGTCGGCGCCACCTAGCAGGCGTGAATTAGCAGAAGGCAATTAATTGTTTCGCGCTCGGTGTGAAAGCACCGTTTATCGGCGATTCGCCTCGCTTTTTCGCATCACACTCAGTGTGAAACGGCCTTAAGCCTTCTGAAGAATCAATAAAGGGTGGGAACAACAAGCTCTGCTCAGATTTGTCAAATCGCCCCTAGGCGCAAATTCTCAGGACCTCAGTGCACTTCAAACTCCATCAACTTAATGGATTCTAACATAGGAATATGACAATTTCTCGAAGACGCACCATTTGCCAGATTTCCAAATGCCACAGAGCCGCTCATCTGTAAGGCCTGCTTAGCAGCAGCAGGAATCTGCAGTCCTGTACCTAAAAACATCCCAGAGACACGTATAAATGAGATTACAACAATGCAATATCATATGGAATAACAAATACACAAGTAGTTTGAATCAGTCATTGGCACATCTGAGAGACAGTAACGTGCAGCGTTTAATCTGTACCTTCTGCGAGTCTTGCCATCAGCTGAAGTCGACCTGTTGTGCCCAAGTCAATGCCAGTTCTCTCCAGTTCATCATTGTCCAGGAAGGAACTTGCAGACGAGGCATCCGAACGCTCTGTAACATTACCCACCTTCATTGGCCGCCCCGCAAGCTCGAAACCATTTAGCTGCTCCAGGGCTTTTTTAGCACATTCTGCATCTGCAAACTGCACAAACAGACAGTTAATCAGCATTGGATTTATGACACAATGGCAAAATAGAACTGTCCTTGTCTTTCTGAAATGCAAATTTTTTTTGCATTATGTAGATATAGTGTTTCCTTTGCCAGTCACAACAGGATGAAAAAAGCTGCAAAAATGGATCATTTAGAAATCACAGATACAAACTCAACTTTATTATTACTATTATTTTTCTTAATTTTAATTTTACAGTAAAATATTACAACAGTAATAATTCCTATTGTGTTTAATAAAAATAATAATAAAAAAGATTATAATAGTTACTACTATCATACTGATAATCAAACTTTTTTATGCAGCTCTACTCACATCCATGATGACAGTAACAATAAGGAAGGACCAAGATGCTTGACTATTCATCCACTGATTATCTATTCAATCAGATGAATAAAATGTCAAATATGGCCCCTTTAACCTTAGTAAATTAGCATTTTGATAAACTCACTGATATGAATCCGTATCCTTTCGACCTGCCAGTCTCACTGTCCATCATTAGCTGGATGCCCTCAATCTGAAAAGAGGGGGGGGGGAGACCTCACGTTAAGAGCAGATTCACTAGTTTTATCCTGGTTTAGCGGCTTATTTATGCATCTAAAACCATTTCAAATGTCAACTGCACCTTTCCAAACGGCTCAAAAATGCCCCTGAGCATGTCTTCAGTTATATTGAAGTGCAGGGAGCCCACATACAGCCGCATGGGTCCTGCACCACCTCTCTGAAGCATGCTGGCCATGGCTGCTGCCCTGTTCTTCTCAGCCTGAAATACGCAAACAATTCAACAAAATGATTCACATGCACTGGATTAGGTAGCGGACGGGGGATTTGCAGTCCGTTAATGCTCTGACCTGTGAAGCCTGGACTATGATAGGCACTCCCAGAACCCTCTGCCCCGTCAGGCCGATCGCCAGCGGTACCGATGTCGCCTCCACAAACTCAATGTAGGCAATGCCCTTCGACCTCCGAGAGTTTCTATCCGAGATCATCCTTACGTCACGAACCTTAAACGATGGATACAAAAGCTCTCATATGCTTTATTTGTCATTTAACATCAGTAAATGGAGAGTAAAAAAGAAAGAACCACCAAAAAAATGTATCACAACTAAGTTGGTTTTAATTAAGGGCATCATACTTTTCCCACTGCAGAGAAGAAATCTTCCAGATCTCTGGGTCTAATTCTGGCAGCGAGCTGCATGCAGAACACTGTACGGGCGTCTCTCTCCTCTGGGCTCAGATTATCTAAAGGTTGTCTGTTTGAAGAAACACACAGGTCATCAACCACTGAAACACAAATCATTCGCTCTGGAAATAAAGCTTATGCTCATGGACATTCCCACAGCATAAACAATTTTCTAACTATAAATAAAGATCATCGCCATTCCATAAAGTTTATCTTTTAAAATATAAACTACTAGGTTTAAATTCATATCTCTTGGCCACAAGATAATGTACTGAAATGAAAATCCTGTTCTAAGTTCTATATAACTGAACACACTGCAAAACGTCTTATTAAAGTAAAACATATCTAAACAAACTTAAAACAAGACATTAACTTGAGAAGCAAGATCCTGTAAAATATTAAGAGATGTTTTACACATCATTAAGTTTATTTTTCTTGACCTATTGGCAAAATTTGAAACATAAGTTACATTTATGCTTAAAACCTCTTTATTTTACCTTGAAAATAATGATTAAGAAGATTTGTAGGCTAACATGTGCTCAAGATTTAAGACAATATAACTTGATATTTGATGTCATTTTATTTTATAATAAGTTCATAAAATAATACCAGAATACAAACATTACATTTCACCTGTATATGAGCTTTTTATGTTTTGAAATAGTGTGCAAACAATGGACTAGATTATCCATGACTTCAAACAGAATAAATACGTTTGAAAAACATTCATGTCAGGCTAAAAGGACCTTATCATTCTCTATTAAAATGACATTTTGTGTATTTCTATTGACTATATTGAACAACATTAATGAATTGAAACAATTGCACAATTATGTAGACGTTTCTGAGAGCTGTAGGCTTGATATATAATATTAAGTACGAGGCAGAAGAGTTAACAGTGCCTTTAACGCCTTTTAAAAATAACTGCACCCACTTCCTTTTCTCAGCTTAAGTGCATTAATTAATGATTATTATGTGCATTACCATTAATGATTTCTCCTTGCCTCTTCTTAGTGTCATATAAAATAAATAACATGTCACATGTGGTAATGGAATAATTTGCGATAATACTTTACTCTTAAATACAAAGGTTCCAAAAGGGGGTTTTCATAATGATACAACAGAACTACCATTTTGGGTTCCCCAAAGAATTTTTCAGTGAACAGTTCTTAAAAGAACCATGTTTTCTTAGTGTGAAGAATACTTTAATCATCTGAAGAACATAATTCCATTATAAAGAACCGTTTGTGCACTGGAAAGGTTCCATGGATGTTGCAGGTTCTTCATGGAACCATCAGTGCCAATTAAGGACCTTTTTAAGGTGTTCAATACTTCAGTACTACAGCAGAGTCAGACAGTGATGAGCGTCTCACCTGACAGGGCTTTTGTCCTTCTTAAACGGGCTTCTGCTCCGAGAGCGCCTGCGACTAGAGTCAGAATACTCCGTCAGTCTGTGTTTCTCACCCATCCGTGTATGATTACTCATGACAGATGTACACATCAGCACACATTCAGCACACAACAGGCAGCAAGAGTCACAGATGAGATCACCTGTGTTTGGTGAAATGTTGTGGGCCGATCTTCCCTCCGGGACCACCATTTAATTTCGGCCCCATACTATGACATATAAAACAAGGGTTTGTCTCAGCGTTAAAGCAGTCAACTTTCAACCATCGTGGCCATGCGAGGGCTACTACATACTGGTGCAGGAGGGCAAGTATCCAGTGAAAAACCATTGCAAGCCATGGCAAAACTATGGGTTCCTGAGCTAAAAAAACTGCATTCACAAGATTTAGTGTGAAAAAGAGAGACCAAACATGAGTTATGCAATGATATTGGTAGAAATCACATGTGCGATTTCAGTTTCTTTAAAAATCATGTTAAACAGCCAAATTAAAGTGGAAAAACAACACTACCCATAACCCTATATTATATTATATGTGAAGATAAAGTAAAGGTAATGTTCCATGAAGATATTTTGTAAATTTCCTAGCGTAAATAAATGATTAGTACTATGCATTGCTAAGAGCTTCATTTGGACAACTTTAAAGGCGATTTTCTCAATATTTAGATTTTTTTGCACACTCAGATTTCAGAAATTCAAATAGTTGAATCTCGGCCAAATATTGGCCTATCCTAACAAACCATACATCAATGGAAAACTTATTTATTCAGCTTACAGATTATGTATAAATCTCAATTTCAATAACTTGACCCTTATGACTGGTTATGTGGTCCAGGGTCACATATTATATTGAAATTTATTTTATGGAAAAAATGCAACCATGGTCACGGAAAAAGTAGGCGATCACTGTTTCCTCTGTAAGGGCATTATATTATATTATGATGAATATTACACCCAATGGAAAAATATATATTTTTGCAATCATGATCACTGAAGAAGTGGGTGATGACTGCTTGCTCCATAAGGCCATGCTGAGTCATGTGACTGCAACTGGCCAATGAACTTGCGGTTAAGGTGGCCCGCGTGAACCAGAACACAGTAGGCCTGGATGGATGTCGCCTCCAGGTTTTCTATTCTGAGAATTTCTCAAAACAAGCACCAGGCATCTTCAAAAACATTGCAATGTGCCGCAGCGTAAAGGAACGTAAGATTCAAGTACTTTTGCATTCTTAGCGAAGCAGATGCACATTTAGCAAGACACTGACCACTCTCTAGTTACAACAAACTAAACTATGCTTCCCATATACACAACATGTGGCAATATATTCAAATTGGTCCATGGTCTGTGAAAAAAAGGAAAATTCTGTCATCATTTACTCACCCTCATGTTGTTTCAAACCTGTATGACTTGAACTCATCTTTAAAACATACAGTATAGCTCATGAAATCTGGTAAACAGAAGTTTAACTGTGCTTACTTGCTGGGTAAAAACCAATGAGGTTTGCAGTTGAGTTTACGTTTATCATATTTTATAAGCTATATACATGTGCGTTCACCAACGTTCATATGGGAATAAAAGCATGCAATGTGTGCATGTTTCTTTGGAAGACTTGGATTAAACGGCAAAAATCATATTGATTACGTTTACGATGTCTTAATGAACTTTTCGAAGCTTGAAATTATAGTTTGAAAGGACAAATAAGATGATCTCTTAATTTGTGTTCTGAAGTCTTATGGGTTTTGAAATGTCATGAGGGTCGAATTTTAATTTCTGGGCGAACCATTTCTTTAACTATTTTACTGTGTTGTTGATGACCGAGTGACAATTTACAACACTGAATACCCAAGATAACCCAAGAAAAATAACAGAATCGGGGGTTAACTTACAAGGGGGTTTTGCGTCCACGATAACGTCCACCCCGATCCTTGCTGCGGGATCGCGACCGCTTCTGTTCTCTGCTCCGTGAAAGTTTCTGCTCGCGGCTACGGCTCCTGCGTCGCTCGTGGCTCTTCTTGTGGCCCCCGCTTCTACTCCCCTGCCGACCTGGGCTCGGACTACGACTGCCGCTGCGTCTTTTCCTACGTGAAAAAATAAGACACAAATTCATTCATTACCAATATGTGTACTTAATTTACCTGAAAAGCAGGATGACAAAAATACAGAAGGGTTTTGCTTACTTTTTGCTGCGTTCCTCATTATGACCATCGGCGCTAGAGGACTTGCTTTCACCCTGAACAGGATTGATAAAAGAACAACATGAGGATGGAGAGGAAACATTGGAAATTTCAACGTTCATATGGGAATAAAAGCATGCAATGTGTGCATGTTTCTTTGGAAGACTTGGATTAAACGGCAAAAATCATATTGATTACGTTTACGATGTCTTAATGAACTTTTCAAAGCTTGAAATTATAGTTTGAAAGGACAAATAAGATGATCTCTTAATTTGTGTTCTGAAGTCTTATGGGTTTTGAAATGTCATGAGGGTCGAATTTTCATTTCTGGGCGAACCATTTCTTTAACTATTTTACTGTGTTGTTGATGACCGAGTGACAATTTACAACACTGAATACCCAAGATAACCCAAGAAAAATAACAGAATCGGGGGTTAACTTACAAGGGGGTTTTGCGTCCACGATAACGTCCACCCCGATCCTTGCTGCGGGATCGCGACCGCTTCTGTTCTCTGCTCCGTGAAAGTTTCTGCTCGCGGCTACGGCTCCTGCGTCGCTCGTGGCTCTTCTTGTGGCCCCCGCTTCTACTCCCCTGCCGACCTGGGCTCGGACTACGACTGCCGCTGCGTCTTTTCCTACGTGAAAAAATAAGACACAAATTCATTCATTACCAATATGTGTACTTAATTTACCTGAAAAGCAGGATGACAAAAATACAGAAGGGTTTTGCTTACTTTTTGCTGCGTTCCTCATTATGACCATCGGCGCTAGAGGACTTGCTTTCACCCTGAACAGGATTGATAAAAGAACAACATGAGGATGGAGAGGAAACATTGGAAATTAAGAAGGGAGGGGGATAAGAGAAAAGAGAGAAATGCTACTATTGTTGGCCTTTATGATAAATTGCTTGTGTTTTTCCTCGTTTTATCACTTTGGATAAAAGCGTGTACAAATTGAATGTAATCAAATGATCTTTTGTAAATAATCAGAGGTGAGGGGGGGCCTGTCTTTAACTTTTTGAAAACTGTCAGTTAAGTTCAAGGTCTTGACATGCTAGGCCATGTGTTTTTAGGGTAGTATAGGTACCCTGCTATTTTTAGCCTAAGTCTTGTTGTTGTCATGCTATAGAGCTGCTAAAGGGCATTCCAGAGTGAAGGCTGTCAGTCCGTGTGATCTTCCCCAGTTTGCGCTGTTGGACTGTGAGAGCTCGATGCCATCTCGGTCTCACAGCTTGTCCTGAAGCAGACAGGGATTTACACGGCTTAGTCATATCGCCTCCCAAAAGACACCGCATCAAAGTCAGCCAAAAAAAAAAAACACAACTTAAAACCTCATCAAAAGATTTTCAGGGCTTTTTTTACGCATTTGTCTCATTTTGACAACTATGACAGGCATTTTTCGTTAATTTAGAAAAAAGCCAATAAGAATTCTATTTATATCTACCTTTACTGATAAAAATTATTATTGGGTAAAGCATTTTAAATAGCAAACAGTTTTATGATAAAGAGATATTACTAAGTACATGCACAAACCAAATGCCAATGTCAACGGTTTTACAGACCATCAAAACATTGGGTAGAGAGACAGTATTCATATTTAGAAACTTAAAATTCATTTACAGGACAATTCTGTTCTTTTCAGGTTTGAACACTGAAGATGACCTTCAGTAAAGTCAAGTACAGTCCAAGGCTTCAGGGTTTAAATTCTTGACTCCAGGTCCAATGAGAAGGCTACACCAAATAAAATGCCATTTGCAATAAATATTTCTTCCATAATATGAAGGATTTCTGAGTTCAACATATTTTTCTTTTTTAAATGTTGGGCAGGGGTTGATTTTATCCGTTTACAACGTATGTCTATGGTGTATATATAGTATGTACACCACCATTCAAAAGTTTGCGGTCAACAAGAGGTTTTTATTTTTTTAATTTCTTTTATTAATACTTTAATTCAGCAAGGATGTATTAAATTGATCAAAAGTGACAGTAAAGACAATGTTACAAAAGATTTATATTTCAAATAATACTGTTCTTGGGAACGTTCTATTTATCAAAGAATACTGAAAACATTGATAATAAGAAGAAATGTTTCTTGAGCAGCAAATCAGAATATTAGAATGATTACTGAAGGATCATGTGACACTGAAGGCTGGAGTAATGATACTAAAATCTTTTGAAATTATATTAAAATAGAAAACAGATATTATAAAGATATCTCACAAACCACTGTTTTTACAACATTTTTAATCAAATTCAGTCTTGGTGAGCACAAGACTTCTTTTCAAAACATTACAAATAATCTTACCAACCCCAGATTTTTCAGTAGCGTATATTTTTCTTCCACTGCATCAGATTCACCTTCAACAGATTTTTGGTGACATGGCTGAAACCTGAATACTGTCTCTGATCCATGTCACATTATGTTTCATCTATTGGCATTCGTTCACCGTTATGGGACCAAATTGATTTAAAGGTGTATGGTGGCGGTCTATTTGTATTTGGGATCAAAGTACATTAATACATTGCGCAATTACTACCTTACTTTTTTTCACAGTTCACACTGGAATCAAAGATGTATTCAGGGGAGTAGAGGTGAGATATCATTAGGCAAGTCTATAAAGAGAGATAGATGGGCATTTATTTGTAATTCAGGATATCACACTCTCTCTCATACACATTACACAATCTTACACTTTAGGCAGGCACAGACAATAAAAGCAGGGTTTCTGAGTAGCCATATGACAACACGAGTTCAATTCACACACAAATAAAAAATCTGATTATTGTTTATCCACCCATGTTGTTCCAAAACTTCATTCTACTGAACAATAAAAGGAGAAATTTTTACCAATTAAAATGTATAGGCAAGTTATCCTTACCGAGAAATTCCCCTGTGGAAAAATACTAATTAGATTTTTAGTTCTGGAACCTGACTACTGTACTCATACAGACTATTTGTTTGGTGTTTTTTGAATTTTTTTTACTGCTTAAAAGCTTCAGTCCTCTTTCATGACTGAAGCTTTTAAGTCACGATTTCTCCCTTTGTGCTCATCATTAGAATGATATGCATACGCGTTGGAAAATGCATACAGATGAATAAACCATGACATCTTTTTATTTTTGTTGAACTTAATCTTAAATGCCTACAAAAAAAAAAGAAAGCTCGTCAACTTCCGGTCGTCCACCCACCTTCTTATAAGGAGCTTCCAGCATGGCCTCAACGTCGAAGTCATCCGCCATTCTGACCTGCTGAATATGAAAAAGCAACATACATTTTACAAACACAGCCAACCTGATGAGTTATAGTTTGCGGTAACGTTTAAGCACTCATTTATCGACAGAGCAAAAAACAAACATCTTACAGTCGAGCTGTGCTGCTGCAGTACACGCTCTCCAGACAACAACAGCATTACATAAGCAGCTAATTTAGACGCCACGCTCGTATCCATATATGACAGAATACTGTAATTTATGTTATATTTCCATTTAATAACTCGCTTTAAATATAAAAAATATTAAATATTAAAACTCTTTAAATATAAAAAATTTACTTACAGTCCGTGAGTCAGAACAGCTGGCTCTCCCAGGACCAGGAAACGGTCCTCCATAAAATGTGCTGCACACATCTGAATATTTGGGTTGAAGTGTTCTGGAACAGTGTTGTAAATACAACTTAACCACTGATTTCTAGTCGTGTCGATTTTTGGAAGGCCAAACAAAGTAGTTTAGCTTTCACAATGAAACGCAGGCCGGAGGGCTTGAGAACAGTGCGGCCGGCGGATTCGACGAAGGAGCGTCC